TTTTGCAGTCCATGTTCAACTGCTCTATGCTTGCCAGCCAAGCACACCACCAGCATGCTTCTCGACAATCTTTCCACACTGCAAGGTAATTTTCAGATGTTAAATGATAATTTGAGAGCTTAAAGTTCTTTATGACTTTTGATAGTTTCTTTTTTTCCTCTGGATGATCTCACAATTGAACTTTATCATCATCATTTGCAAAGTTAATAAGATCCCAAACAACTTCATTACGAAATTGTTTATGCCCTTGTGTGGATCCTGAAATTCTAGTAATGAGATACGCATTAATAATGGCAGTATCTAACAGCCAAAAAAAAAGTGGTATCCAATTTCGTTGTGTAGTTTGTTGGGTGTCATAGTAGGATCACAATTGGTCAGCAATATCCACACCATTCATATGGTGGTTGTAGTCATCAACTACCTTTGGTATTTTCATTTTTTTTTTCAGTTCAGATCTAAAAACTGCACATACCTTAATTGCATTGGTACTTGTTTCTCTTGTCTTCGTCTTTCTTATTCTACTTCCCATTCTTCATCCACAAGACCATGTATTGTTAACAACATCGTAACCGGGCCATTGTCTTGCCAGAAAATTTCCAACGCACTATCAATTTCAACATCTGAATGAACATTCCAGTCAAATTTAATATCTTTATCTACTTTTAGTTTTTTTGGAAACCCAGATGCTGTTTTACAGATAGTTCTACAGGCCCCAACTCCAATTTGCCAAAGGTGCTAAAAAAGAGGAATATTACTGAAGTAATTATCCATATATATATTGTAAGGAAACTGCGAGTATGGAAGTTGTTTAACGAGGTGAAGGACCAAAGAACTGGTTTAATTAAGACCATCCACATTTATTACATTATTCAGTGAAACACATGATGTTGGTAGAAAAATGTAAGTGTACCCAGCTTTGCAAAGAGAAAAAATCTTAAAGCCCTCTGAGATAGGCTTATTCTTCATACAGACTGTATGGACGCTTCTTCCAGAGAATCTGATCATCATTTCATTTACCGAAACATTTGAACCCAGGATACAATACTGTGTTGAGGCATCACGAACATTTGAAAGTAATGGTTCCAATTTATCAAAGTAATTTTTAAGCGTTGATGCAGGGGCAGAGGGAGAAATATGCAGAAACCTTTTAATCAACTCAAAGTGCTTCAATGTCATTTGCTTTGATATATTGTGAACAAAAAGTCTTAGATCTTCATTCCAATACTAATCAAGAGACGACAGCTTAAAAAGTCCTTGATAAATCATGAGGGCAATCCACACAAGAAGCTCGTTAAGGGTTACATTTTTCCAGCGTCTACCAGTAGTACTGGCACCTTTCTCCAATGCATATGCATTTGTATTTGTAACTATCATTTCAAATATGGGAATTGTAAAAAAGAGAAAAAAAAAATCAATCAGCCTGAATACACCAACATTAATATGTGTTGGCAACCGAACACTCATACTACACAGTGGACTTGAATGAACCAATGGTTTAAAGTTGGCAGATGGTGGTGGTAGTTTGGGGCTTGCTTGCGTTTTCTCTTTTGGACACATTTAGTATCTATTGCATCATTATTATTCTCATCTTCATTATCATTCTCGTCTTCATTATCTGATCCTGGGTCACTTAAAGAATGCTGCCAGTATGTCAAAATTGGCACATATTCTTCTGCGTCTTTCTCATCGGCTAAAATTTTAAGAAAAGACGGCGACAACAATCTTGATGGTTAACTTGATGTCGAACTTGATGACAATGAACTTGATAATGATACTGAACTTGGCACACTCAATTTTTTTGTTTTTGAAGACATAAGTTTTTTTTTTTAATAATTTTGGTCAAGACCAAGAAATTTTGGGCAATCAATTGTCGATCAATTGTGTAATTGTAAATTACTTAAACATTGCATCATTATGCATGAGAAATACCACAAGACGAAAAATGATTGCTGATACCTTAAACTTTAATTTAGTTTAGGAAAGTAGGAGGGGAGGCATAGAAAAGTCAGGTGCACGTACATAAAAACTGGCAAAAAAAAATTTTAGTGGACAATTTTGTCTGCTAGATGGTTTAAGGGATAATAAATTGTAAAGTTTTATTATCGTAAACCTTTATATATATTGCTATTATTAAAAAATATGAAGCAAAAAATTTTTATCGTATTTTTAAGCGTTCTATTAAAATAATCAGATTTATTAATGATGATTCAGAAATATAAAGGTTATTTATTTCTAACTATAAAACATATAATAAATTTAGGACATTTCTCTATCTTTTGTATCAGTCTCAACATACTTCAAGTCTCATGACCCATACTAATCATTAAAACACCTAACATGCAAAACTTTTAAAAATCCAGTACTTCATGACATATATCATGAAATTCTAATGATATTTAAAGTATTTATTATATATTTTAATCATCATTACTAGCTATTATTAAGGTTGAAGTCACCTTGTTATACTATAATTTCTTATTACTCAACCTAAATATAGCCTACATGTTTGCTATTTGCAATAAATCTTTTTTCTTAAATTGGTTAACCTTGAAGGTTTCTTACTCTTGTTGCTACCAATTTAGTACTTACAATCTAACATATTTCTTAACACTTTATTGGTATAATTGAATTTATTAAATTTTAAATTATTAATCTATAGTTAACTATATACTTTTTTTAGTTGTATTTTTATAATTAGTTTGATCTGATGTTTGATCAATCTACTTTTTGCAGATTTTTCTATAAATATACTTTTGATTATATATATTATATTACTAGTTTGGTATTATAAAAAGACTAGAAATCTTGATTTATTATATATAAATATAATAACTATCAACTAAATTGAAATATATAACTGTCTATTAAATAATATTTTTTAGTACTATTATAGTATCTACTAAGATGTTCTAATTCTGATTAGACCAATTTTTTTTTACAGAATTTTTTAAATTTATATTACTTACCTAATCAAATTGTTGCAAGTTGATATAAAAATATTAGTTTTGTGCTGTTTTTTGTAAAAACTTATCTGCATAGCATTTTATATAATAAAAACTTGTATAATGCAATTATTACATATAATATCTTATTTTTACAAAGTTAATCTTCTTTTAAGAATTTTTAATTTAATTTTATATTTTATTTTAGAACTTTTAATAGAGTTTTATATCTGATTTAGCTTTTATTTTAACTTAAAAATTTAAAATACTTAAATTTTGTTTTTAATCTAACTTAAACTATTGATTTAATCTGTAAAAAATTAGCAATTTTACTATTAAGTTATAAGGTTCAATCTTTGTATTATTATTTTAATTAAAATGGAGTGTGGCAACCTAGGAAAGTGGTTAAATTGTCAATCCTCCAAGTGGTAGGTTGGGTGTTCAAATCCCATGAACAGCAAAAATTTGGATAATCACCTATGTAATATTCATATTACAGCAACTGTTACTAATGATTGGGTTAGGATACCTGTAATGGTGGTTACACCAGCATGACTGGCAAGTTATGAAGCATCTGTGTAAATATGGCATTACACAGAGGAATGCAAACCAACAAATTGCAGTGCAAACACTAGATAAGTTCTTGTAGCTATATAAATTTATTGAAATTGGATAACAAGAAGTCCATTTGGAAAGACCTAAGTAGAGAGGTAGTTGAATCTTTGATGGTCCTACTGTAAAGGCTTGTCTGAAAAAACAGATACCAAGGTTGTAATATCTAGTCATAGTACTAGACAGGCAAGAATCTCTGGATTGGGAGTTTTGAAGATACCACCAACTAGGCCATCGAAACAAACCAGAGAAAAAGGATATCAGGTTAACCTGATATACTGATGGACTGGTTATAGTCCTACACAGCTTATCTGAATTAGAAGTTTGATAAAAATGCAAAAAAAAAGGCAGGAGTATACTAAAGTACTGGAGTTATGTTGTAAAATAGATGCTAGGGTCTAAATGAACTCTACAAGGGCATAGAGTTTAATGATTAGCTCTGATCACAAGTGTTGGTTCTGCTATAGTAATACCTATATCAGTTGTAAAAATAGGTACAGAAGGATTTGGGGAGTTTACCTTAAAGATAAATTGGTTCTAAGGTTGAGATGATAATCTAGGCATCTGAGTATGACCTAGTGAGTTAACACAGATTACAGATTCAGAAGGTTTAAAGTAAAACATTCAAGCAGAGTTATTAGGTATGACAATTGTTAGGAACCTTTAGGCAGACTTCTTAAATAGATAATATAGAAAAGTTATATATATAGCAAATTGTACTCTCTCCTGTAGTGGTTCACTAAATTACAATACTGATAAGTGATTAATAAAAGTCAAAAGACCAAAGAGATTACCTTACTACCAAAAAAAAAAATTATTATTTTAATTATATAATATATTAATTGTAAAATTAACTAATTTGTTTTTGGAAGTTGAATCTTATAGTCTAGTAGTTTAGATGCTTTTCTTTACAAACAAAATCAATAATTCAATTTTACTTAAAGCAAAAACTTTGTAATTTATAGAAATATATAAATATATACAAAGCTCTGTGGTTAAGTTTATATGAATAGAAGATCAGTATATAAGAAAGTTTCTAAAAAAAAGTTTTCTAATATGGAGAGTTAGTGCTTAATGCAAAAAAAGCAGTGAATATATTAGAAATAGAGAAAAGATACACTTGCAAGTGATATAGTGAATATAAAAGAAAGCTATAAAAAAGAAATAAACTTACTGAAATTTAAACACCTCTGGTACTAATACAAGTTTTAGTAAATATAGAATATATTGAAGTTAGATAAAATCTAAAAGGTAATCTTAGTATCATACTTAGTAAGTTTGCATCAAGGGTAAATTCAAAGAATTTTAGTTATTAGTAACATTCAATATGATATTACTTTAATATAAATAATAATTAAATAGCTCCAATTTGATATATCATTATAATAATAATATAAAGTATTGTATATATATACAAATAGTGTCAAAAATCAAAAAGTTTTAAATAAGAGACTTAAAGATAAGTCTCAGATATAGTATTTAGTAATAACTTATAGGCAGAACCCTTATTTAAAGAATGAATAAAGTTATATATATAGCTAGTTATATTTTTATTGATAGACTATTATATATAAAATATAATTATATGTTACTTAATAAAGACATTTAGGCAAAATTGTTGTTTTAAACAAAAAAAACTAGTTTGTTTTTTATTACTATATTTTTAGATTTGTTATATTCTAAATTAAGTAAGCAATAATAATAATATAACTATATATAATTAAAAATCAAATTTATGGATGTGGGTCCTATAGCTTAGCGGTTAAGCTCCTATACCCTCCACAGTCAAGGTCAATAGTTCAAGTCCGGCTGGAGGCAAAATCAAAAGATTTTAGCTTCTGTAACCTAATAAGGAGCCTGTAATTGAATACGAAGCCCTGTGGT